TATATTAAAGCGACTGTTCCCCGTCTGCTCTCTCTCTCTCTCTCTCTCTCTCTCTCTCTCTCTCTCTCTCTCTCTCTCTCTCTCTCTCTCTCTCTCTCTCGCTCGCTCGCTCGCTCGCTCGCTCGCTCGTGCATGTGGTACGTTATGGCGACTGTTCCCCGTCTGAAGAGTTGACATCTCGCACGCCGGGGCGTGGGGCGTGGGGCGTAGGGTGTGACACTCGCCATGCATAGGGCCTTGCTTGGCTAAAAGACAAGCGATTTTTTGGGGGCCGGGCGGGGGAGAAAACAGGAAACCACCATATTTACATTTCTGTCCCTCAGGCCTTCCTGTCGGTACCCATCTGGTGCCAACATACCCCTGAGACTAGCCTAGAAGTTAGGCTGATCCCAGTTACATGTACCAATTCTACACATCCGTGTGAGAGCAGGCGATGTACACTGTCCTTTGAGGAGCACCCTTCGAGTGTCCTGGTTGAGTTCAGTGTCTGAGTGGGACTCTAGTGCGTGTGTGCATGCTCCCTCCCCTTCTCTCCCCCTTCTCTGCTGTACTCAATGCTCATCACAGGTGAGTAGGTGGGTAGGTGGGTAGGTGGTAGGTGGGTAGGTACATAGGCAGCCAGGCAGGTGGGTAGGTAGGTATTTGGGTAGATATTAGGTGGATAGGTGGGTAGGTACGTATGTGGGTAGATGGTAGGTGGAAAGGTGGGTAGGAGGAAATGTCGGGGCAGGTAGGTATAGAGGTGGGTAGATAGGAAGGAAGGTGGGTGGGCGTGTAGGTAGGCCAGTTTGTGGGTAGGTAGGTAGAGGTAGATATAGAGGTGTGTAGGTAGGTAGGCAGGTAGGCAGGTACGTAGGTAGGTAGGCAAGTAGGCAGGTAGGCAAATAGGCAGGTAGGGAGGGAGGGAGGGAGGGAGGGAGGGAGGGAGACAAGTAGGTAGACAGGGAGGGAGGGAGGGAGAGAGAGAGGGAGAGAGGTTTTTGCCTGTACCCTCTCCCCCAACTTTTGTGATATTGTGGATGTAGTCAATGGCCAGGGTGTCCATCATGTACTTTTCTTTTCTTTTCTTTTCGACCATTAAGGTTTGCTTGTTGTGAATTCTGTACGAGGGCAGAGTGTTCAACATTCTGGGCTTGATCACTGGACCTAAGGCTGGGTCGCGGACGGTTAATTTTCTGGCATGTCTTTGGTACCACCAGATTTACATTTCTGTCCCTCAGGCATTCCTGTTGGTACCCATCTGGTACCAACATACACCTGAGACTAGCCTAGAAGTTAGGCTGATCCCAGTTACATGTACCAACTTTACACACATGTGTGAGAGCAGGCGACGTACGCTGGTTCAGGCAGCATGTGAGAAAAAAAGAAGAAAGAGTTGTTGTCGCTTCCCTTCGAGGAGCACCCTTAGTGTCCTGGTTGAGTTCAGTGTCTGAGTGGGACTCTAGTGCGTATGTGCATGCTCCCTGCCCCTCTCTCCCCCTACTCTGCTGTACCCAATGCTCATCCCACGTGGGTAGGTGGGTAGGTGGGTAGGCGGGTAGGCGGGTAGGCGGGTAGGTGCATAGGCGGCTAGGCAGGTGGGCAAGTAGGTATTTGGGTAGATGTTAGGTGGATAGGTGGATAGGTGGATAGGTGGATAGGTGGATAGGTGGGTAGGTACGTATGTGGGTAGATGGTAGGTGGACAGGTGGGCCGGAGGAAATGTAGGGGCAGGTAGGTATGGAGGTCGGTAGGTAGGAAGGAAGGTGGTTGGGCGGGTAGATAGGTAGAGAGGTAGATATAGAGGTCTGTAGGTAGGTAGGCAGGTTGTTAGGTAGGTAGGTAGGTAGGTAGGTAGGTAGGTAGGTAGGTAGGTAGGTAGGAGGGAGGGAGGGAGGGAGAGAGGTTTTTGCCTGTACCCTCTCCCCCAACTTTTGTGATATTGTGGATGTTGTAGATGGCTAGGGTGTCCATGTACTTTTATTTTCTTTCCTTTTCGACCACCACTACCTTTCACAGGCAAACGCAAAGTCCATCTAGTAGCCTACTCCTGAAAACACGGGGCTTGGGGCAGAGTTGGAGTCCGACGAAATAAAAATAAAAAAAAGAAGGAAAAAAAGAAAAGAAACAAAGAGCAAGGACGCCGGGGAAGGCCCTCACGAGGGTGCACGTAACACCAGTGTTTTGAGGAATGTATCTGGCCACTATGTGGGGAAGTGTTTGCTTTTGTTCTTTTTTTTTT